ATCGTAATACCGCACGATAATTTTTCTGATATTAAAACTTTCAAGATAGCAGTATGTAATGTAGTTCGTTTTGATCTTTACACATTAATAAATTTTTACTGTACACGCTACATTTGCGCATATATGTAACACACATGTATTGTATACATCCGTAGAAGATAAATGAAGAGAAGTTTACATTATTATATTTATTTTAAAAAATATATTATATTTTATCAATTTAAACTTTAAATTTTAAAGACTGGCGCATATGTATAAATTTCGTATTTAACGTTGTTGTTACTTTTAAATTATATACAATTAGCTTTTATTGTTTATTTTTATTAATTACCATTCCAATTTTAAATTGTTCTTATAATTTTTCTTACTCTATCTAGCAGCGCCAAGTGTTTTTACATGAACAATTTGTCTATTTAAATTAAATTTTTTCATTTTATACTTTTAAGTCTTTAATTTTTTGTGCTAACACTTAAATTGAGCAAGGTAACGCAATTTTGTGATAATGTTTTGTATAATGTTTTGAAGGAGAATTAAATAACCACTACTTTAGTTGGAAAAGGAAATGTCTTTGAATGAATTGTGATATAATAATTTCATTTGAGAGAAATTTAAACCATTTGGATTGGAATAGGAAGATTCTTCAATAAATATACGTATACTTAGGTTTTATTGCATAAAAATTAAAGATAGTACCATTTGGATTAAATAAATAATAAAGATAGTATCACTTGAGTCTTACTTTTCATTTTGAGTAGAATTTAACTTGGCGCCACAGTTATTGATATCAAATCGTTCGTACAAATAATACATACCATTATATTAATATTCATTATTTATTTAATTTGGCATGATATAAAGAAGTGGGATTTAATTTGGCGCCAGTTCTTGATATCAAATATTTTATAGGAATGATACATATCATTAAAGTTAATATTATTTATTTAATTTGGTATTCGAATTACATGGAATTTAACTTGGCGCCAATTGTTGATATCAAATCTTTTTTACGAATAATACATAAAATTTTTATAAAATTTTGATGAATTTAACTTGGCGCCAATTTTGTTGATATCGAATCTTTTATACGATACATATTAGAGTTAAATAAATTTTATACGAATGATACATATCATTAGTTCTACTAAACAGCAAACGTGATTAGTCATCAGTTTTACGGTCGATTAAGTAATTGGCATTTAACTTGGCGCCAGTTCTTGATATTAAATCTTTTATAGGAATGATACATATCATTAAAGTTAATATTATTTATTTAATTTGGTATTCGAATTACATGGAATTTAACTTGGCGCCAATTGTTGATATCAAATCATTTTTATGAATAATATATAAAATTTTGATAAAATTTTGATGAATTTAGCTTGGCGCCAATTTTGTTGATATCGAATCTTTTATACGAAGATACATATCATTTCCTCGACGGCGAATACCTAGACCCTTATTTCCTCAACGGCGAACACCTAGACACCAACTTCCTCGACGGCGAACATGTAGACAACACCTAGACGCCCACTTCCTCGACGGCGAACACCTAGACACCCACTTCCTCGATGGCGATCACCTAGACACCCATTTCTTTGACCTAAACACCCACTTCCTCGACGACAAACATCTAGACGCTTAATTTCTCGACGGCGAACACCTAGACGCTTAATTCCTGAATATCTATACACCCTCTTCCTCGACGCGGTAAATACCTAGATCTTCAACGACAATCTCGATATTTCATTTTAATTATAATTAATATTTTATTTTAATTCATTTTATTAATTATATATTTCATTTTAATTTCAATTAATTGTAATAATAATAACGCGCCGCGTGCACGTCACATCGTATATGTGACAAACAATGTTGCCATCGCTGATTATCACAGCCGTCATGTGTGATTGATCACATTCGAATGTGCAATGCTGCCATCGCTAGGTTAAGTCAAAAGCCCTCTAGTGTCGAACAAACGAGATGGACATTTTCTCCTGATCGACGACGACAATAACCAAGATGATAATAATAACGACGTATCTGTGAATCTGATGATCTGAAAAATAACAGTTCGGAACTTTGCGTCGCGATATCTCCGCTCGTAGGGCACGTAGAAAAAAAATAAAAGTACTTTTATCATACAATCCGTGTGGTGGCTATCGATTGAGCATGCATAGAACGCGATCGGTTCATCCGTTATTGAGATCCGATAATCTCGATCTGCCGCAACTCGTCGATTCGCGTAAAGGAGGCACGGCAGTGTCGCTTCGCGCAGCTTTGCGCTGAGACACTATCAGTGTCTCCAGATTATTTTAAATGAAACGATGTTAAAATATACTTTTTATCGAAATTAGTACTTGGCATAATATAAAGTCGAATAAGATGAAAAACAGATTATGTATAAAAATATGTTGTTTTGAGTTACGTTATAAATGATTACGTTGTATATATTTAATCAAAAGAATACGCTAACTTTAAGAAAACGTATCAATCCCACTGGAAATATTTTATTTCTATTTGAGGGATAAGGAATAATTATACAGTTTATATATAAGAATGAAATTTTATAAAATTTTGCAATAGGTATATATAAAATGGCATTATATAAAAACAGAAAACTTTTGTTGTTTTACTTTATCTTGTACTTTATATCTTTATATTTGTATTACATTAACTTTTATCATTGTTTGTCGTAATGAAACGAAGTTCGTTAAAGGTTATCAGTAGACTGCGGAAGTTTATGCAAAATACTTAACTGAATGTTTTGCATAAAATGCATATTTTGCAATTTTGTAAATTTACAGATGGCAATCTCAATCTTTTTACTTCACCTTTTAATAACTCTTTAACGAACAACGATTGATTGCTAAAACTGTCCGATAGTTAATATTCAGTTAAGTATTTTGCATAAAGTTCAGCAGTCTAGTTATCAGTCAAGATTTACGTAACAATTTTATGCCAGCATGTAATTTAATTAGTTTAATAAAACGATATCGCTGGTTTTAATTTGATATCTGCAATTATTTCTTTCAGCACATGAAAATATCCAATAATGTGATTCGATTCCGGAAAGTTTCGGAGTTACGAGATACTGAAATAAGAAAATATAAATTGTAATAAATATTTTTTAATGACACAACTGATACTTAATGCTGCCGATATCATCCACGAAGTTCTCTCTCTCTTTCTCTAAATATTTTTTAACAAGTTCGAAACCATTTGTGCTATAAAGTGTGTCGAAATTGAGGAATTTTTAAGCATCTTTTACAAAGCATGAAATAGAATAAACGAACATTAAACAACATTTTCTACAATTTATATTTTTTTTAATTCAATACCTCGTAACTTCGAAATCGTTTGGAATTGCATATAAGTTCATTAAACATTTTTTACTTGTTTTCGGGTACTAAGCCGCTTACCTTGTAGCAGTTTCGGCACTGCATAAAAAGATACCCTGTGTATATGTGTGTGTATATGTACGGGCAAAGTCTGCAAGTAAGCAGTACCCGGGTAATGTCAACATTGCCCAATGTAATCGCGTTGGATAACTCTGACATTGTACAGCAGGCAACTCGAGCAACTGTATATACATATATACACCTACATATAATATATATATTTACAAAAAAAATATTATACATCTTTAGCATTAAGATAAGATTCTTTTTCTCTGAAAAATTCTCTTTCTTTATCAAAAACAAAATTATCTTACTATTTTAATTTTTATTTCATATAATGAATAATGGATTATTTACGAAACGTAGGAAAGAAATTTCTGAAAAATTATTTGTCGTATTATTATATATACGTGAAAATTGCATAAATTCTAATCGCATTTTCCAGTCCCATTCGTAGAGCTCGATAGATATATCGCCGCGTATTTTACATAAAATAAATAATCCCCTAGTATGTGTGTAGGGGACGCCAGCTCGCCAGCGCGTCAAAGCACCTGGCCGCATCGTCGTCCCGCGTCGAGTGGAGTCGAGCCAAGTCGAGCCAAGTCCAGCCAAGTCGCATCTGCGTGCGTGTCGCACGGGCGAGATTAATAAATCGCGCGGCGGAGTCTCTCTACCTTTCTCTCGCGCCGACGCGCGTGCTGCCCGTGTAAAAATCTACGGGTAAGCCCATTTGCCGTAGGACCGCGTAAATCACCGTCATTGTCTTGTTGCTTTATTACTCCTGTCCAGTAGGCTCTCTCGCGCGGCCGCTGCCACCGCGAGGGACGAACAACGCGTTCCATGAGCTTATACGCGTGTGTACGTGGGACACAACGCATGCATCGTAACACGTATGCGGAACGCATCAGACGCATGCGAGGTGCATACATATATATACACATATACGTGCACCCTGCACGCAACCGCAGAGGCGCGCACGCGGAGCCGCGGCAAACGAGGCGTTAGGCTAAGTTAATTCAACCGGCTCGCCTCCCAAGTAGCCGCGCCGCGGAAAACGTGAATCGCTCGTCGGAAGTGCACGGATCGTTTCTGTATTACCCCACGGCGCGATGCGGCGC